GTCTTTCGGCAGTATTCTAAGGGTGGCAGCTAGCTGTTCAAACATTTCCTTTTTTACTTTCTTTGTTCTTCTTCTCATTAGGTTATGCATAGCAAATTCTGCTTGTAGCATGTAGTCTCAGTCACATAGTCTGATCCCAGGAACATTTAATAAATAACCAGCAACAAGGCACAAGCTGACCATTTTTACCTGTGATCTTTGACCATCTCTGATAACTTACATTATGAGTAAGTTGTTACAGCACAGCACTTCTATTAAGTGAAGTTAATACAAAGACAATATAAGTTCACTAGGGAAAGTTTAAATATAAAAAAAGAAAAAGAAAAAAGACTATTATTCCACTCACCTAAAGACAGCCCTGTTAAAACACCTTGGTAAACTCTTCCATTTCCTCTTTTCTGTATAGATGCACATTTTCTTCCAAAATGAGATCATATTGTGCACATGCTTATTTCACTTACCAATATTTTGTGAACGCCTTTTATGGCAATATCACATTTCTGTAGCCTCTTTTTTAATTGAAATATAGTTGATTTACAATGTTGTATTTGTGCTCTTCAGCAAAATGATTCAGTTTTTTATACATGCATATTTTTTCATATCTTTTTCCGTTATGATTTATTACAGGATATTGAACATAGTTCCCTGTGCTGTACAGTAGGGCTTTGTTGTTTATCTATATTATACATAGTAGTTTGTATCTGCTGATCCTAAATCCCTAATTTATCCTTTCCCACTCTCTTTCCCCTTTGGTAACCGTAAGTTTCTATTTTTGTGAATCTGTTTCTGTTTTGTAAACAAGGTCATTCGTATCATATTTTAGGTTCCACATATAAGTAATATCATATGGTATTTAATCTTTCTCTTTCTGATTTACTTCATTTTAGTATGACAATTTCCAGATCCATCCATGTTGCTGCAAATGGCATTATTTCATTCTTTTTTTATGGCTTAGCAGTATTCCATTGCTTATATATACCATGTCTTCTTTATTCAGTCATCTGTCGATGAACATTGCTTCCAATGCTACTATGAACACTGGGGTGCATGTGTCTTTTCAAATTAGAGTTTTTTCCAGATATATGCCCAGGAGTGAGATTGCTGGATCATATGGCAATTCTATTTTCAGTTTTTTAAGGAACCTCCGTACTGTTTTCCATAGTGGCTGCACCAAACTACATTCCCACCAACAGTGTAGGAGGGTTCCTTTTTCTCCATACCTTCTCCAGCACTTGTAATTTGTAGATCTTTTTTTTTTTCCAATGGCTTTGTAGTTTTCCATGTATGGATGTACCATGATTTTATCTAGTCATTAACCTTTTGGGCTGTTTCCAACTTTTCTCCATTAAGAACAGCTTTAGTGAACATCCTTGTAGCTGAACCTTTGTTTAACTTTTTAAATCATACTCGTTAGAATAATTATGAGAAGTGGAATTAGTGGCTTAAATTATCGGCGTAAAAGGCATGGATTTTTTTAGGGTTCTTGCAACGTAGCGTGTTATTGGAAGTCTCTGTCATCACTTACACATATTCTCAGTGAAGTGGTGGATAGGTTAGAGGGCATGGAGAAGTAAGCCCTTGCCCGGGCTATGGAAAACCAACATGTATTTGATTCCTTCCTTCCTTCCCTCCTTTCTGTAGGAAAACTTGAATCCCTTAGTGGTTCTGAATTTATTTAAACGAATCCCAGCTGAAGATGTCCCTTTACTTCTGATGAATCCAGAAGCTGGAAAGCCCTCAGATTTGATTCTCACACGGCTTTTAGTGCCCCCTCTGTGCATCAGACCCTCTGTTGTGAGTGATTTGAAGTCTGGCACCAATGAAGATGATCTGACGATGAAGTTGACAGAAATCATCTTTCTAAATGATGTCATTAAAAAGGTCAGTGCTTCTCATTATAATTTCCAAGCTCCAAGTTTTGGAGTATGTCTGTGTGGACACTTCTGATGGAGAAAGTCAGGTTGACCAGGCTTGTTTCTGTTTATTCTCTGCTCATTTTTAGCATCGGATATCAGGAGCTAAGACCCAGATGATCATGGAAGACTGGGATTTCCTGCAGCTGCAGTGTGCCCTTTACATTAACAGTGAGCTCTCAGGCATTCCCCTCAACATGGCGCCCAAGAAATGGACCAGAGGCTTCGTCCAGCGCCTGAAGGGAAAACAAGGTACGTTCCAACATGTGCAGGAGACAGTCTACTGCCTTTATTTCATTTTTAGGGGGAACATATGTCCAGCTTTTCTTGTTGGAGATCACAGGCTTTCCTTGGTCTTTCTGGTCATTTACCCCCAAACAGCACACATTGTGCCTTGGAGACCTGTGATATATTTTTATTTATTCAGGTCGATTTAGAGGCAATCTCTCAGGAAAGAGAGTGGATTTTTCTGGCAGAACAGTCATCTCACCTGACCCCAACCTCCGAATTGATGAGGTAGCTGTGCCAGTTCACGTGGCCAAAATTCTAACTTTTCCTGAGAAGGTAAGTACATTAAGCTGCTCAGTATTTTGCTTTGAATTCAGTCTTTGATGTTGCATTTTGAGATTCTAAACAACTGACAGTGAAAAATTCCCAGTAATCCACCCAGCCCGCAGTCTGGCGTGTGCATGTTTCTCTCTCCAGTTTGTTTCATACATACATCACCACATATGACGTCTGCAACACAGACAGCCACAGCTGTGTTTGCCCTTGTGTGTGTAGCCTCAGATACACATTAAACATACAAGTTTGCAATTTTGTTTTCCAAATAATGTATTTGACATCTTTCTGTAGTTTATACCTCATGTGTTAAAGTAACTAAATTGTAAACACCACACCCAGTTAATTTTCTTGGGATGAATTATTACTTTTAAAACCTTTGAGTCACTGAGTCAAAGACTTTAATATTTTATAAGGCTACTAGTGTATAACCAGAAAGGCTGTACCACTTTACACTCAGTTTATATCATTATTAGTATAAAATGGTATTTATGGTATTTTGTTTTTTTAACTAAGCTGTAAATAATGGCAAGGCCTGATAACAGGAGGATGTTGATTGGCTTTGCCCTTAATATTCATAATCAGCCCAAATCATAGATGCTTCTGGTTCAGTTTCTGTAAAGTGCCCTTGTTGAGCTACTAATGGTCCAGAGTTTTCTTGTTTGAGATGGTGTCTCACAGTTGTCCAAAAGGCTGCAGAACATGGCAATTCAGACCAGGGCCTATGGTGCTGGTGTCACCACTCTTAAACCTTAGAAGCCTATGGTAAATCCTTGCAGTTGAAGTTACCACCTGTTTTTAGGATCACAGAATATGCTGGAAGGTCCCTACAGATCAGTCCAGCTGACTCGTTTTACTGATGGGGAAACCAAAGGCCAGTAAAGAACTTGGCCCTGTCACCCAGCGAGTAAGTGACCGAGTTCACACCTGAACCTGGTACCATTCCATTGCTGTCATTACGCTCAAGACCCTAGCAGCAGGGTGCCCAGGGGTGCCTCTCTTTCTCCTAGAATGACCCAAGGAAAGTAAAGATTGAGACCCAGTTCTGTGTAGTGTGCTAGCTTAAAAAACCTAACAATATCTCGTTGTGTTTATTTCACTCCCGCAGGTGAACAAAGCAAACATCAACTTTTTGAGGAAACTGGTTCGAAATGGCCCTGAAGTTCACCCAGGAGCCAATTTCATTCAGCAGAGACACACACACATGAAAAGGTAATGCTTTCACAGTATCATTGGCTATAACTACCTTTGCATGACCAGGTTCACTGTTGCCATATTCAGCCACAGAAAACAATCCACAGTACAATTGCGATATTTTAGCACGTGGGAAATAACTATCAGAAATTGTAGGTACATTGTTTACTCTGTTTGCTTGTTGACTGTTCACAGTGTACATTTGTTCTTTAGTGTTTGATGTTATTGGACCTATGTGGACGAAACTCATTGGGACATGAAAGCAGGTCATTTTCTGTGTCACCTGGGCACTCTGAGGTCACCTAGGTGTGCTCATAACCCAGGAGGCACTCATTTTGCCAGTTCTGGCTTTCCACAGCCAGATGCGCTGATCACCACTGCCTTTGTATTTCATGAGATTAAAACAGCAACAGGGCCATGTGGGAAAAGCTGGTTCTCTATTTCTGTGATTCCAAGACATACCTTTTTTCATATTTCAACATTTCTAAAAGTAAGATATATCTTACAATCAATTTGTCGTAGTTTAATTGCTGGCATATGGAGGCATTTTAAATTCAATGAAATGTCATCATTTCAGAGACTGAATCCTGATATGAAGAGGGAGACACTTGCTGAGGAAGCTTTGTTCTCACCGACCACATCTCTTATTGTTATGTTAAGGTTTTTGAAATACGGAAACAGGGAAAAGATGGCTCAGGAGCTCAAGTACGGGGACATCGTGGAGAGACACCTGATAGATGGAGATGTGGTCCTGTTCAATCGGCAGCCCTCGCTGCACAAACTGAGCATCATGGCGCATCTGGTGAGTACGAGACTGGTTTGTATTTTCTGCATGTGCTGTGCTAAGTTCCAAACTTCTAAAATTTAAATTGCCAGTAATCACAGATTTTCATCACTTTTTGTTTTCCTCTTCTCTCACTTTTTAATTTGAGTGAAACTCCTAAGTTTCAAGCTTCCCTTCAATGTTTTTAATATTTATAACTTACTAGTCATGCAACAGTAAAACAGGAACTAATTGAAAGTTAGTTTGAAAGTGGCTACTGTGATTTCACTTGCAACAAAATATATACATATACATGTGCCCACAAACTTAGGTAAAGTAGATACAGCAGAAAGTTGGCTTGTTTTAACGTAGCATGTTAACTAAGGACCTAAAATGCTTACAGGATTTCTCTTTGCAGCAGTTCTCCAACTAAGACCTTAAACCATATTTTGGGGAGTGGTTTAGTTTTTGCAGCAGCAGCAGTTTCTTTTTCTGGAGATTTAAAATGGAAACAAGATGCAACTTAATTTGTTAAATATTCATAAATTCTCCTATCTGCAAAGCCATTAAATCCATGAGCATTTGCAGACAGACTCCTGAGGTAGTGTTTTTGTAGATTTTTTTTTTCAGTAGCTTATAAAAACATTACATCAGTCCTTTTGCTCAGTGGTGGAAATACCAAAGAAGCAGTTCATGATTATGGAGTTATTATTATGGAGATGCAGGAGGCGAACAAAAGCCTTCCCTTGCTGGAAACTTTTGATTAGCTCTGGGGCATTTTAACGTAGAAATATTTTTGCTTGAAAATCTTCAGATATATCCAAAAGTAGAAAGAATTTGGTGATGAACTCACACATTCCCATCCTCTGTATTTTCGGTAATTTTCAAGATTGTGCCACACTTTTTTTCTCTCTTTTTCCTTTGGTGAACTCATGTCTTTTTTCTGTGTGTATTCAGTTTACTTCTGTAAGACACACATAACTGTCACGCCTCACAGTGAAGTCATTCCTCGGCGTTGTCTGGTACCCCACCCACAGTGAGGTTCCCCCAGGTATCTCAAAAGACTTCTTGCAGCTAGTTTGTTCAAAGCAGGATGCAAAGTCTGTCTACACATTACATTTAGTTGATACATGTATTAAGCCTCTATCTAATCTAGGACTGTCCCCCCTCCTTTTAATTTCTGTGTCATTGTTGAAAAAACAAGGTCATTTTTCCTGAAAAATGTCACATGTTCTCTGTCTGCCTGTGTGTGGCGCTAAGGATTCCTTCATGCTTCCTCTTATTTCTGTAAACTGGAAATTAGCTCTCAAAGCACAATCAGATTCAGGTTCAACTTTTGGCCAAAATACCTCATAGGTGGTGCTGGATACTTCCTCTCGCCGTATTTGAGGAAACACGTTGTCTGGCTGGCCCACTCTTAGGTATGCTAAGGAGGTTAGGGATTCAGATGCTTCAGCCTGGGGCCTCCCTTGAAAAGTTCCTCATCCTTTTCTCTAATGGTCTCATTCTCCATTTATGATCGTTGCCTATATTATTTTATTGGGATTGCAAAATGGTGATTTTTCTATCATTTCTTTCACTTTTAATACCTGCCATTCTTGTAATGAACAATTCTCCCTTGTTAATTATGACTTATTTACTTACCCAAAAATAGAATTTGTAAAAGAAAGGCAGCATAAATGTCTATTATTTTTCCTTTTTTGTCAGTTTAGGGGATTAAAAAGTTGGAGTTGGTGCTCAGTTTCTTCAAACTAGATTGGTTTGTGGTTTTTGTTTTGTTTTGGCTTTCCCTTTTTTCAACGTCATCATAAACTCATGGGTTTTTATTTAGTCAGTGTGTTTTAATTAACTTCTGCCATTAATCTTTTGATAGCAGACTGTGACAGCATTGACCAGTGGGAACCCCTTTCTCATGGCTCCTGTATTGATGTTTGCCTCATAGTATTAAAACAAATTTATTGCATTGTTTTGATCTGATAAAGCTATTTGAATGAGTCTATAAGTGACATATCACTTGCCAGAACATATTAGACATTTACTTTCTTAATCTAAAGTGTCCAATTCTCCCGGAAGCCTTTTTTTTTTCCTGCTCTTGAAAAGTTTTTTTTTTCCTATCAAGGGCCTATATTTATTGAATTTACAT